TGAACCCAAACGCAGCCGCAGCGCAGACATATCGTTTTCAACAAGCGATACATAGCGGTGGCCAACGAATCCGTTTCCGTATCTCCATCTGTGGGCCAACACACCGTTTGACAGGCAACGAAAGGCGGAAATCGAAATAGAAACAGAAGCAGAAGCGCACAGAACCTGAATCAGAGCCCAAAACCACCAGCAGCCGAATCTGGAATAAACAGAGTGGCCAGCGGGCAAGTAGATAAGCAAACGCATTCATCTTACTGAAAGAGAAGTCGACTGGCCTGGCATAGGCAAAAATAAGTCCGGACACAAGTTGTCCAGGCGTGTTCGAGAGCTATGCGAGCATTAAGGGCTTTAAGATATTTCAACTGGCTGCTAACTCTGTGCGTATCTGCGAGTTATTCTGACAGCAGCTGCTGCACTTGCACTGCTTGTTAAGAGTTAAGAGTATCTTTTACTTTGGCAATGCACAAATCATAGCATGCTTTGTGTTTTAGTTTTTCCTTTTTTTTCCCTTTGTTTTTAAAAATTCATCGCTTGCTTCTTTGTATTTGCTTGCCTGTGCTATTGTGTCTTTTAGCCACTTTCCTTATCTTGGCCACACTTTTATTGGCCGCTTTATTTGGCAATGCCACCGCTATAATTCACAACAAAAACCCCAAGATAAGCGAAAACAGTTTGCGGTTGCCCTACGAATGCATGCGAATTAGTTTCTCGCCATTTTTGAGTGGGGCGAGCTGAGCTAAAAGCCGACAGACGGGCTAGCAGCAGGACATGCTAACCAACAATTTGCTTAGTCCTGCTTTAAATACATTTTGGCAAGCTAAAGCTGAGCAAAAGTGTGTGTATTTGTTTTGTTTGGGTAAAGCATGCTGAAGGAAAATGTTTGTATTTAATTAATTTAAAAAACCTTTAGATAGGTTTGGGATAATATTTTATTAAATTTATCTATACAACATCAGCTAAAAGGTTGCCTTTAGTAAAAACACAATTTAAGAGACTTTTCAAAGCAGAATTAATAGGCTGACGTGAAATTTGTAAGTACTTGAGAAGCAACAAGGCAAATTAATTGTTTTATATTGAAATCTCGTTGTTTTTACAAAATTACGTATTTTCATTAGGCGTTACCCCGCGTCATTCTTTGATTTTAGTGTGACCAGCTTAGCCTAATTGCAATCTACTTATATTTAGCTTATATTCGTGCCGCTCTGCAACACTAGCTTATTGGAATACTACAGTTTCAAATCCACTTAACTTTTATAAATAATTATAATACTTTTTTTTTTATTTTCATTTTGAACTTTTTTTCTTTTCTTGTGACTATTTCCAGGAAATTCCAGTGCAACAAATATAGACTAACAATTAAAATACTTATAATTAATATTAAATTTGTTCATGCGAAAAACAACGATACATATGTATGTAATTAATTTAAATAAGTAAAGCTCATATTAGTTGGGTGCTATTTCTCTCTGAAGAGCCCTATTTCATTTTATCGATAAAATGTTGCGTAATGTTCGCTGCGCCCATTTGGCGAAAAAGGCAATCTTTTTCGGCCAATTTCGTTTGGCAGTTAGCGCATCTTTTAACAAAATTCGGGGCCATTAAATTATTTATGCGGCAACATCACTTAAATTTATATGCATGCACTTGTACTCATATTAGCAGCTTTAACCATGGCCAGTATCTGTGCGTTTGTATCTTTGGCTGTAGCTGTATCTGTAGACGAAAGCGAATGGTACCTATACCGAATATCTTAGTGCGGCACAAATTCCTAAATGGCCGCGCTGGCAATTAAAATGCTGCCACAATCGTAACTCAAATGTTCCGGCGGTATCTGACAGATATTTACGGTCTGGCCGTACTGGCTAGGATCGTACTGGAGCTGGCCGTAAAGATGGCCTGGCACGCATCTTGGGGCTGCACTTAATGGGCGCCCATTCGTAGATTTCGTCAACGTTCTCTGCACTTTATGACTTATTGGGCGTTCGCGTATGCAGCACAAGCGTAAAAGAAATTCTCTAAAACGTTTTCACTTAGTCAAAGAAACAAATGGGCCTTGTTTCGAATATGCATTATGATAATATTAATTACTTGCTATAACTTACAGGCCCAACGCGCTCTTCACTTACCAGCCAGACGCAGACGCAGGTGTGATGCCAAGTCCGTGGGATTTGTGAGGCCCGGCCAAACAAATTGCGCTGCAATCATTCAAAGCCAACGCACCCGCAGTTTCTGTGCTCATTCGAAGCACCCCTCGTCGGGTTGAATAACTCAATGAGTGCGGCAGGGATTCGCTTTAAATGAAAGTGAATGCTTGCAGGGGTTGCGAATTGGGTCTTGTCGCGGGCCTCGGGCTTGTTAATTATTTAGAGAGCAATGCAGATTTATTTACTAAACTGTTGAGCCCCTCTCTGTTGTGTGTCGTCTTTTTTTGTTCTTGTCATTGTTTGCCCTTTTGTTGAGGCGTGTTTTGTTGTTCCAAGTATTTCGGTATACCCTTACAGAGGGTAGTTCAGTTGCTTCATGAAATGTGCATCAGAATGTTATACGATCTGTGCTTATTTCTAAATTCTGCTGGGTAAGAACCGGTCGGAACTACATTATAAACTAAATTATTAAATGCAAAACCAATTTAGTCATAAATGTATAATTTTATTGAAATTCTCTTTGCATGGAATCGATCAGTACCTTCTGATCTCTACCAAGCGAAAGACTGTGAATAAAGGGTATATATATAGTGTTTTGTAGCTTGTACGGTATTTACATTGAAAGATATTGACAATGATGGGATATTTACAATGAAGAGGATTGAGACCTAAAACTGCAAGGGATGCCATATCAGCTTGTCGGCTGCTGATGAAGTTGATCTAATCTCTGACCTTTGTTAGGCGGAGATTAAAATTTCCAGATGCTGTCATCTATTGCAGTGAGCACATAAAAAATGTGTTATTATAAAATGGTATTGCTTTAATTTGGCTAACTTTTTTTTGGCTCTTTTAACCAACATTCAACACAGTTTATGTGATTTCCATTGACAACTAGTGTGTTTCATCTTCGTTACAATTTTTTCCCTTTTTGCATATTACAATTTGTTTAGCACTTATTTTTGTATTTTTTAAGCTGGTTTCAGCCTAAGGCAATGCGTCATGTAAGCTCAAGGATCTGTATGAAGGAAAAATGTTGAAGAGTTTTTCACAGTAGTTGTCACAGATAATACAATTATTAAAGTTATTGTTAAGAGTAAAGTAAACATTTTATTAATTTTTCCAAAATCGAAATGACCATTTAAACTTGTTGGGCAGCATGCCGTAAGTGTGCTAAGCTGTGAGAAACAGTTCGGACTCCTTCAAACAAATGTTGACCAAGTAACTCTGGATTCCGCCCTTGTTGTTGCAATATATAACTTACTTGTGTTTGCTGTGCCACATATCAGCTTATGCCCGCCTCTGCGCACTTGTTGTGTTTGCCCTGCTCTCAGTGTGTGTGTGTGTGAGTGTGAGTGCGTGTGCGTGTGTGTTTCGTAGGCGTTTCAAGTTACTTTCTGCGTAGCACTTGTTTCGGTGCTAGATTTATGTCATTTCTCGTGCAGTTTATTTCTGTTTCTGAAAATTTTTCTGGTCACTTCTTCAGCAAAACAAGTACTTTATTTGCTTAACATGGCTTTGTTTGCCTTACTTTCTGCCTTTCTTTCACCCACATTCTGAGTAAAGTTGTCGCAAATAACACTACAAATGAACAGCAAAGGAGGCCAGCCCATAATTCCCTGTGATTTATTATGCACACATATTACTTGGGCCCTTCAATGGGCGATTTGCTACAGCTGTATTACTTCTTATGTACTTTGCGCAGTTTACAACACTTTCGATTGCAATTAAGCACTCTGATTTAGTCCAATCTTAAAGAGTTAAATTTGTTTATCAAAAACATTAGTGGGATTCCCGAAACAGCTTTAGAAATGATTTGGATTTGGTCAATCACCTGTGCTAGTGAAAGTTTTAGTTGCTTAATCATAGAACTTTTTTTTTTCCAAATAATAATAATCTTCTAAGGTACGTTTGCAATAAATAAAAATATATATATGTGTTTTTTAAAGTGCTTTAGAATTTATCTCTTAAGAGCATCAAGAAAATAAAATTAAATCATTTATTGTCAAAGACTTATTTCATGTATAGCCAATCATGAGTGTGGTTTTTGAGCCTTACGAGGATGAACTCTAATCACAACAACCTTATGGCTCTCTCCCCAGACCTAAGTAATATTTTCTTGCTGTGGAAAGCCAGAACATGAAAGAAAAACCCATTTAGTTATTGCATTTCTTAGCTTTTTTTTAATTTTTATTTTGCATCATCGTTTTCTTCAGTCTTCGTATAAGAAATAACATTTTGTTTGTATTTGTGTATGTGAATTTTGTTGTTGCCGCAATTTCCAGTGTCTATCATATATATAATTTAATTAAATACTTTAGCATATATTATTATTTAAACTTACGCATGCCTGCTACCGTTTTATACACACACATTTGATGGTTTTATTTATGTTTCAATTCTCCTCGCACTGAAACAAACAAATGCATTTTAGTTGCATTTGCTCAGCTCTCTGTTTTTGATTTCACCTTAATTTATGGTTTTTCTATTTTATGTTGTTTATTTTTATATGCATTTGTTGATTTCAGATTGTTTTGTCTTTCTATTTATTCGGAACAATTTTTATGCAAATTGTAGTTCCAGTGGGGCTTCTATTTGCTTTGCTGTCCACGCATGCAATTACGGGTAAATTATTGTGCCAACAAATTTCGCAAGCTAAAGAACTGAAAATAACAACAAATTGTAAATTCTTTTAATTTAATTGCTCAAAAAATTGCTTTCATATGCGCATCGTGGTATTTTATTTTTGTTTTATATCTTGGCTTTTTCACTTTTTCACATTTTATTAATATACATTTTTGCGTTTGACTAAGTTTAAATGTAAGAATAAATTATGTACAAAATGTATGCAAAATATGCTTAGTTTGTGCTTGAGTCGAGATTTACTTTATTTTTTTGTTTATGTTTATATTTATTTACAAATCAATTTTGATTATGTATTAGGCCAACTTTGAGTTTGAGCGCTGCACAGCGCAACTCCGAAAAATAAAATATATTAAATTGAATTTTGCTTAAGTTTACACTTTTTATATATTGTCATCTTATTTGTGTTTATTTTTGTAATATATATATTCATTTAATTTCGAAAATAATCTGCTAGAATTGAGTGCGACATTAGCTGCTGCATGTAACTAAACTTCGTCTGGCATTTCTCAGGCATAATATTCGTGTGCGCTTTGTTTCTGGATCGGAATATTGAAAAATGGACTGTTTTTGGTCCCCGTTTTGCAGCAGTTGCCAATATTGAAATACATTCTATTTAGTTACTAGCACAACTAATGCTTGGTCAAGCTAAGAACCTAAATCGAAACTTAAGAGTTTGTATCAAAAATTTCGAATATACATTGTGGTTGTATCAAAAGTGTACAACAAATGAAATACGAATTAAGAATAAATAGTTAACTAAGTTATTTGTTGCACTCTTCACGCTCTTTGCAATGCAATTGTCGTTCCTTACGCTCTCTAGTTATGTTTATTAAATTCTGTTTAATGCGCCTAACAACTATATTCTATTTATCATTAGAATGCTGAATGCCTTTAACTATGAGTGGGCTTCTCCTTGTGGAGATTTCTTGCTTAGCTTTACTTTCGCTGTGGGAGAGTGAGAAATAGAGAGAATTTCAACTATCGCTAATTAATATTTCTTTGAATTTGTATGTTAGCTTAGTACTTAATATGACATATCTGTTAGGTTTAGTTATTCAATATATATATATATATATATATATATATATTATATATTTAAATGCTAATAATAATATAGTATGCTGCTATACACGTAGATATATCCCTTGTTTCATTTGACGCTTGTTAAACTTTGTTGCGAGTTATCAAATTCACGTTTTCAACTCAAACTCGAACCTAAACTCAAAAATTAAGGACATCTAAACATAATCTTAATTAAACAAAAAACCTAAACTCATTTTTGAGTGGTGCACACACGTATCCGCTGCGAATTTCCCTGTTTTCAAAAGTGGTCGCTGTCCTTGGTCTGGCACTGCGCATAGCTGCGATAGTTGTTGTTGGTCAGACCTAGGCCCACCAGTTCCATGCCCAAGTCCAGCTGCTTCTGTTGCCTCTGAACGCCAGCACCGCCACGTCCACGTCATACGTAGACCACATGTGGCTTGGTGCCAGCGCCAGCGCCAGCGGCGGATGCAACTGCCGAAGCAGCGCTGCCTTGAAGCGCGGCCGCCTGCTTCAGCTTGGTCATGGTGTGTGTATCCGGGTACTCGTAGTGATCGAAGCGCTCGTACAGATGCTCCGGCTCATCGTCTGCCTCCTTGACGGGCAGCTCCCAGGGCTTGAGCGCTCGGTACTCGTTGGCAATGGTCTGTGCCGCCAGATAGCGCTCCAGCTCCAGCTTGTCCAGCTGGGGCAGCGTCGTCTGCTGATACTCGTGATGCCCACCCCCGCCATGCGCCTGCAGCGGCATCGCCTGATGGTAGTGATGATGCGCCTGCAGCGTTTGGGCATGATGCGGATAGTTCAGCGCCATGCCCAAGCCGCCAGCACCGGAGCCGCCCAGCGTCATGCTCATGCCCGCTCCGCCGCCCAGCGGCTGATGATGACCCTGCAGTATGCGGTCGTGCACATTGATGATGCTCTTGCTGGTCCGCAGCGGGCCGCGCTCGTGCAGCAGCTTGCGCCGGCGCTTCACGAAGCGCAGATAGTAAAGCACACTGACGCCGATCATGAGCACCAGGAGGCTGGTGATCACCGCACACACCACGGTCACAATGTGCGCCGGACAGGTGATTTCGCCCTCGCTCATTGTCAGCAGCTGACGGCGAGTGCGGACTGCGTCCCGCCAGATGTCGCAGCCGATCTGCTGCTTATCCATGCGCAGATAGCCCGAGCTGCTGCTCGAGCTGGAGCTAGCGGCAGCCTCCAGACGTTGTTCGTACGCACTCGGCTCGGTGGTTTGCAGCGCATTCGCAATGTGCTGCTCGGCTATGTAGGCCGCCAGGGCAGATACACCGTCATCCGATTTGAGCGTCGTGTCGTCCTCCTCTCTGACGAGCGATGCCTCCTTGGCCAGCGCGGCCACGGCTCCGCCTGGCGCATGCTCCAGCGGCGGATCAGAGCCCTCAAAGTTGCCAGTGACGAGGCGCCACAGCCAGAGCAGCGAGCAGTTGCACTGCAGCGGATTGTCGCCTAGGTATAGCTTCTGCAGCTGGTCCACCGGAAACTGGGCCGAGTAGAGTGTCTGCAGGCTGTTGCTCTGCATGTACACCTCCAGTATGTTGGGATTGCCCTGGAACAGGCGCATGGGTATGTCGCTCAGTTGCGGATTGAAGTTCAGGTGGAGCGTCTGCAGATGCGTGTTGTCCACGAAGGCTCTGCAAGAGAATAGTAAAAAAACGCATTAGTGATAATAAATGGAATTGAGGATGGATATAAACTAAGCACACATTCTATGGGTATAACTGAAATATTGAATACTAGCGGGAATTACCTACTCTTGTAAAAGACCAAGTGTCTTTTTATTTTATAGCTATAAATAAACAATCTAGCCGCAACTCGACTCACCTGTGCAACTCAAAACAAACTTTTAATCATTATTTTTAAAATTGTGAACAGAACAGAAATATTTCAATTAATCGTTTAACCACAATTTTTCACAGTTTTGCTAAGAATTCGTTCACTTCTTTTTTACAGCTTAGAAAATAAATTTAAATCCGATCGAAAGATCAAGCGTTGGATGTGACCTCTATGAATTTTAATAAAGATCTGTGGATACGAGCTAGAACCTAAAACCTTGCTCTGAAATAATTATTAGAAAGTTCTTTGGAAACAAATTTCAAGTTGATCGAATGGTAAACAAAAAGTTGCATTTAACTGTTTTCCACCTATTTTCCGCAATTGAGTGCGAATCTCAGTACTTACATAAAACTAGATAGCTACAGTAAAAATATAAAGAAATACTCCATGTAAAACAGAACTTTTTAAAAAGCTCGACTCAAAATAAACAATCCTGACGGTTTTAAAACAATTTAGCGACATGTACACAGCGTGCAAGCTGTCAGGCACACACACACACACACACATATATAAAAGCTGGGTGCATGTGTGAGTGGAGTGATATACTTTGTGGATATACGAGACTATTCTTGTTGGTTGTTCATTTTAATTATGCAGAATGCTATGCATCAACGTTAAACTTAAATGCCAGGCAATGAAATACATGAATAGACACGCATACACGTACACACACACACACGCATACACACACACACACACACGCAGCGCGGCAGTCTCGTTGTCCCTTTATCCACATGGCGTCGTCTTAAGCGACGTGGATTTATTTAGCCTGCGACTATTTCAACCTAATAATGGAAAGAGAGAGAGAGAGAGAGAGAGAGAAAAAAAGAAACATACTCCCTTGCTGCATGTTCCACGTTGCAAGCTTCGTGTCGCAGCTCCGTGAAGCGTTGCCGTAAATCCCTGCCAAGTTAAGTCAACGTCGCAAAGTCGCTGACTGCAGCACTCGCAGTTGCTGCAGCAGCTGCAGGCAGTGCATTACCTATAACATACCCCCCACCAGTCAGTCGCAGTCTCAGCATGAAATAAGTGCAACGTGGCGTATGAGCAACTTACCAACTTCTGCCGCTGCTTCTGGTGCAGCAGGAACAGGCGACGACTCGCTGGCTGCTCCGCTGACACACTGCGAATTTGTCGCTTTTAAGCGATTTATATTTTTTCTTACACTACTCGACAACATTGCATTTGATTTGATTTGATTCGAGCTCTTAAGTTGCATTTCGTGTTAAATGAACGCATTTATACGAGCTGCGCTCCCCGATGAACTTTGCGGTGCAGCCCGTGCATCGATTTGATAAGTAGCGCAGTTTTGTCGGCGCCTCTTAAGCCCATTTGTATGCAGCAGTTAGTTTACGACTGATTGCTACCAGTTGGACTCACATATTAGCTGTGATGTATTTGCCACCAGAAACGGCTTGCAGGAATTTTTGTATTTGAAAGTGTGAAATTTATGGAAGCTAATAATCAAAAACATTAATCAAATTTATATGCTTAAGAAGAATTAAGCCTTCCTGGAAAGTCATTTTAAAATGGTGGTTGCAATGGAAGCGGCTTTGTATCTGTCTACAGCTGGAGGAAATAATATGTATTTTACTACCACTTGCCTTTGCAACATTATTCCTTGTTATTTTCTTTAATCAAATATAAATGAATATGTGTTAAAGAAATTTTAAATCGGAAAATCCACGTGTGGAAACATTTCGGAGATTTGAATTTCGGTTAAATTTCCAAGACAATTTATTAACTCAATTGTGTTCAGCTGTGAATTTAACCCAAGGGAGTTTCATATATGTGACGGGACATTCATATCGTTAGAGCATTTAGCTTCAAATCAAATTATAAACTAGTTCGAATCGAGTGCAAAAGTTGTAATCAGACATTGCGAAAATATTATCATATTTTAAAGTCAACACATGCATTCGAATAATAAACCCACACCAGACGGAACTTCCTAGACAAAACAAACGAACCTCTGCCACGCTGAACGTTCAATTTCATGGCAAGTTAAGCATTCAAAAACTTCAATTGCAGGCGCTTAAAAATTTTGCCATTATCTGCACAGTCAGAGACCAGACAAAACTTCCCCTTGCAGAGAAAAAAAGTTCACTCCAGTTGAACAATTTAGCGTGCAGGGGCTAAGAATACAAATTCAATTATTTGTGCAAATATTATGCAAATAGTGCAGGGAGCCAAACACTTGGCCGCAAGAAACGTGACATTGGCGCGGATTTCATTTGGATCTGGCCGGGATACCTTTGGCGGCACCAGCACCAGCCTGAGCCACCCGATGCTACAGGTTGAAGCTACCTGCTGTTGAACGCTCTTTAAATGCCGCTTTGGCAACGCCCAAGGCACACGCAAAAGGGTGGCGGCTACAAGGGCAAACTTTGCTGCTGGAACAAGGGAGGGGGGCTTGGAGGGTTTGCCCCCTTGACTGCCAACAACAGCAACAGCCTTTTTGCTGTACTGCGCCCGGACTCAAACTTCATTTTGTGTAGAGTTCAATTTTTTTTGTAATCTATGCGGGTGTCGCCATATTTGAATACCCTACACAAAGTAGATTTTATTCGTGAGTTAATGTTTGTTTTCAGGCATTTTCCTTGTTAGATTCTTGTGGCTGATTCAATCAAACATTTTATAGCCCAGTACAGATCGAGATACTATACAGCTGCAAATATATATACGGCTCCCAATACAGGGTATTTCTCCGTCGATAAGCCTAGACTGAAGTGTTTGAATTGTTTTCATATATGTTGTTTCTGTTGCTTTTGCCAGCGTCAAGCGTGCGGAAACGGAAATGGTTGCCATGTGTGTGTGTGTGTGTGAGAGAGTGTGAGTGTGTATATTTGTGGGTGTATAAACAGTCGAAAATGTTGTTGTTCGCTTTTCTTACTTTTATTTTTCGGCCAGCTTATATGCAAATTGCTTTGCGAATGTGTGTGTTGCGTCAGAATTGGAATTGCTGGAAATCGGATTGAAATGTTTGCTGTCCATGTTCGTCGGGTTCAGTCACGTTTCCCGATTCCGGGCCTTTAGACCAGAGACCAGTCAGAGAGTTCAGTCACACGACCGGCTATTGCTGCAATAGTAAAGCAACTGATGAACAGTCAATCAGTCAGTCTGTCAAACAGTTTGTCAGCCAGTCAGTCAGTCAATCAAAGGATATGTTGTATCCCGTTTCCATATAGTTTTTGAATCTTGCATGCGGCTGTCTGCACCTTTGTGTTTGTGTGTCTCTCTGTGTCTGTGTGTGGGCGAGTGTGTGGGGAGTTTGTTGGAGTAAATCCGTTCTATTCAATTGATTGACATTTTTACTACAATAAATAGAGAGATATGACAGTCGATAGCCCCAGAGGAAAACCGATTTTGCCTGCTGCATTGAGCCTCGATTTGGCTGTTGATTTATTGAGTTCTGCCGCGCTGACAGTTGAATAAGAAATGGAATTAAAGAGAGAAACTTGAAGCTTTAAAGGCATTGCAGCATTTGCAATGACGCCCAAGCAATTATTAACTAATTGCCATAAGCACACACAAACACATTCGCAATTTGTGGTGCTTAGCCCACGACAAATTATCAAATGATATGCCCAAAGCATTTGTTAATGGCATTTTAAACGCTTTTAAATTGCGCATACGCCCCGTTTAACCTTTAATTCGTTCGTTCATTGGAAACGCGATGCCAACGCGAATTAAACGGCAGGCACAAAATGTTGTATTAGGTTTACCCACAATATGTGTATGCAAGGACCCAAATGAGGGACTGCCTTCAGTTGTTATGCCTTGCATTTATAAATTATGCACAAACACAAGCTAAACAGCTTTAAGTGCAGCGCAAATAATGCTGAAAATTATAGAAAATATATTGACATTAAAATGAACAAGAAGATAAGGTGGAAGAAATGTAAAAAAAGCAAAATATTTAACGATATATTCGCTTAAACAACTGCTTTCAGTTACTTGCGCTAATTAAGAGGCTCGTTTAGTGAAAGGTTGACTTATTTAAATACTTAAATTAAATAATTTTCCAGAGTCAGGTTGCTGACGGGGTTCTGTTTTGCCTGTTGTTGCTTGCATAATTTATAAATGTCTTGAAATTCAAGTGCAGTGCACTGAGCGATGGCAATTACCCAGCGAGTGCTGCCTATCCCCTCCCTCTTGGTAAGGCATGCATATGCATAAATATACAGGCTTAGACTTGGACTATCTCTCTCTCGCTCTCAGGTTTTCAGTCTCTATAAGAATGCAAATACGCTTTTCGCATACACAAGCATAAGCACACGCATAATAGCTACTCACGAGGCTGCCTTGAAATATTTCCAGGCTCATAATTTATGGAAAAATTGCCGGCTTGGCCGACGCGGTGGCAATGGCGACGCTTTGCGGGGGAGGGGTGGGGGGCAGTTAGGCAGGCAGCAGCATGTTTATGTTTTCCTGTTTCCGTAATTTCTTCCTGTTTTCGTTTTGCAGCTGTTGTTGCTGTTGCTGCCTTTTTTCTTGGCACTCTTCGCTCTCACACACAAAATATGCTTATAAACATAAAATTATGCATCGCGTACTTTTGTGTGCTGCAGCAGCAGCTGCTTTGACGCCCCTTTTTGGAAGAGCAGGGGCGTGCCTGGATAGGGTGTATATGGCGTTAAAGTTTAGCTTTATTTGTTACTTGCAATCATTTGCTGACACTCTTGTCGCTGTTGCACACCATGTGAGACCCTTTAGGAAAAATAAATATATAAATAACCAGCCACAAGCTGCTGACTTATTAGAGCTGAGTTAGTGTGAAAATATCAGCGTGTAGCTT